TGGTTGCTGGTTCAAACCCACACAGCAGCTCTGAGGGAGAAAGACCTGGTGACCTTCTTCCATCGAGATCACAGCCTATGAAACTGGGGCAGTTCTACTCTGTCACATGGGGTCACCGCGAGTTGGAATCAGCTCCGTGGCACCCCACGACAACAACGCACTTCTCAGTCTGTGTGCCACGCTACAGTTAAGTGGAAGAGCCAAGAATGTACCAACAGCTTTTTGGCCCCATCCTACACTGAGGACACAGTCCCTGGGTGGCACAAACGGTTAAGTGCTCGACTTCTATCCAAAGGAGCCCTGGTGGCACAGTGGTTAAGAGCTCAGCTGCTAACCAAAAGGTCGGCAGTTGGAACCCACCAGCCGCTCCTTGGAAATCCTACTGGGCAGTTCTACTCTGTCCTAGAGGGTCACTGTGAGTCAGAATCGACTCGATGGCAGTGGGTTTTTTTTTTTGTGTGAGATAGACAAGGATTTCTTGCTAGTTAAAGTGCAGGAAGGAGGACCAGTCTCCTGAATTACTGCGCTGCTCAGAACACATGGTGAGCTGACCCTCTACCTCTCCAATGACAGACGCGCCCCACCAAGATCACTTTATCCCTAAATGAGCAAATTAGGGTGAGGGATCGTGGAGTGGACAGTTACACATTCCAAGCCTGCACTCTTCTCAATTTAGAAATATGCTCTTATAATCTCAGGGTACACTCCAAATCTGGCTAGGGACACCTCATTTGAGAGAATCACAAACCAAGGAAGCTTAATTGCCTTACCAAAAAAAAAAAAAACCCGTCGCAGTCAAGTCGATTCCAACTCATAGCGACCCTATAGGACACAGTAGAACTGCCCCATGGGGTTTCCAAGGAGCAGTTGGTGGATTGGAACTGGCGACCTTTTGGTTAGCAGCCGAGTTCTTAACCACTGCACCACCAGGGCTTTACGCCCCTGTTATCTGCATCCGGGTGGTGTAAACAGTTATATACTAGCCAAAAGGCTGGCAGTTCGAAACCACTCAGAGGCGCCTCGGAAGACAGGCCTGGCGATCTGCTTCCAAAAAGTCACAGCCTTTAAAACCCTATGGAGCATAGTTCTACTCTGCACACGTGGGGTCGCCACGAGTCGGCGTCAATTAGACGGAACTCAACAACAACAACAATCTGCCTCTCAACATCCTAAGCCAGCATCTCAGGAACCTACTAGAGTATAAATCATTTTAGCAACATGGTGTAGAGGAAGAACGTAAACTTTAGAAATAAGGGTTTAAAGATCAGTGCCTTCAGTGGATGAACTGAAGGGGAGCTTTGTACAGAGAATTTTTTTTTTTTTTTTTTGCTATGTTAAGGTGTCTAAATAAGGCACTGCACTGCTCATAAATGGGAAAGTCTGAATTCACAAGCATGTGAATACGTTTCGAGAACACTGTCGTTGCTTTGATGAAACGTTCATTATTTAGCTTGTGAGTAACGTAAACGCATCTCTCACGGAAGTGGTGAGTCCTGTCTAAATTATTCAGGATACTGTGATTAACGAGATAACGCATATGAACGTGTCTTCAGATCTTTGAAAAAAACCTTTTATCAACATGGTGGCGTCACCCTTGTTACGAATCTTTGCTGGCATGATAAGGCAATTCTCTCAGTGAAAAGCCACATTCCACTAATCAGATGGCTAACGTAACACAGGAGGATAATTTTACCCGAGGATGAATTTTCCTAGATGCCTGCCATTTTTGTATCTCTGGATAATGTATATGAGAAACTTTCGTGCATGGCACCATGGTAATATTGACAATGCATTAGTCCAATGTGGACGATAAGCATTAACATTAAACCCCGTTGCCATCCAGTCGATTCCAACTCATGGCGCCCCCATGTGTGTCAGAGTAGAACTATGCTCTGTAGGGTTTTCGATGGATGATTTTTCTGAAGCTGATCACCAGGCCTTTCTTCCAAGGTACCTCTGAGCGGGTTGGAACCTCCAGTCTTTCAGTTAGCAGTGAGTGAGTTAACCTTTTGCACCTTACAGGGACATCATTAACATTAGAATCATCTATTTTGTAGGGGGGAAAAAAAAATCCTTTGGTTTTAACTCAATAAACACAACCCCCACCTATGGTGTTGCTAGAGTACCTTACATCTCTGCTTGTGGAAGAAAATTGCACAACCCTCAACATAATTAAGATAAATTATTGAGGCTTCAATGTGCGTATGATAATCAGATTAGTTTCACTCCCCTCCCAAACCCATATGCCGGGGAATTCATTAAAAAGCCCTGTAATCACATAAATATTCATACATTAACTAGATTAAATCATTTCTGTCAAAATACAACATGCTATAAAAGTGATTCACCCTGTAAGCTGACTGTTACTTCTGAACCCTGACATGTATAATGAATGTTGTATTAATCTCCTCTGCCTGTGGGTCCCCAGGTGGCACAAGAGGTACACACACACACGCTCGCTGCGGACCAAACGACTGGAGGTTCAAGTCCTCCTAGAGGTGCCTCAGAAGAAAAGCCTGGTGATCTGCTTTTGAAAAATCAGCCACTAAAAACCTTGTGGAGCACAGTTCTACTCTGACACACGTGGGGTCGTTGTGAGTTGGAGCTGACTGGATGACAAGTGGTAGGTAGGTAGTGGTGTGTGTTTCTGAGAGACTGCTGGTGGATAAGTGAGTGATACGAGAATGTTCAGGTGTTCCAGTGAATCTGATCAACAAACAGACTGTTGTGGAGTTTTGGCTTAAATGGGTTGGTCTGCCACTGGGGGCTCAGTCGCAGAATTCTCGCCTTCCATGCAGGAGATCTGGGTTCCATTCTGGGCCACTGCACCTCATGCGAAGCCACCACCCGTCTGTCAGTGGAGGCTCGCGTGTTGCTGTGATGCTGAACAGGTTTCAGCAGAGCTTCCAGACTAAGACTAGGAAGAAAGTCCTGGTGATCTCCTTCCAAAATCAGCCAATGAAAACCTTATGGATCACAACGGTCCAAACCGCAACTGATCGTGGGGATGGCGCAGGACTGGACGGTGTGTTCTTCTGTTGTGCATGAGGTAGCCATGAGTCAAGGGCTGACCCAACTGCAGCTGACAACAACAGCTGTTCCCATGGGCCACTGCTCCATCTGGAAGTGGCTGTGTTCCCACTGATAATGATAACCCACTAAGTCAGTGCTTTGTCAGGTATGCAGCCTGCGGCCCATCAGTGAGGCATGAAAGGAATATAGCGTTACAAGCAGGTAATTTTTTTTTTTTTAGTGAGACAGAACGGAATCAGATAGAAAGTGTAGGAGGTGGTCACCCAGTAACGGAAATGTTGTGTTATGGATTGAACCGTGTCCCCCAAAAAATGTGCATCAACTTGGCTAGTCCGTGATTCCCAGTATTGTGTGCCTGTCCACCATTTTGTCATCTGATAGGATTTTCCTATGTGTTGTAAATCCTACCTCTATGATGTTAATGAGGCAGGACTCAATCTGCAAGATTAGATTGTGTTTTAAGTCAATCTCTGTTGAGATATTAAAGAGAGAAGCAAGCAGAGAGACAGGGGGACCTCATACCACCAAGAAACAAGAGCCAGGAGAATAGCACATCCTTTGGACCAGGGGTCCCTATGCTGAGAAGCTCCCCGACCAGGGGAACATTGATGACGAGGACCTTCCCCCAGAGCCCACAGAGAGACAGAGCTTTCCCTTGGAGCTGGTACTCTGTATTTGGACTTCTAGCCTCTTAAACTGTGACCAAATAAATTTCTGTTTGTTAACGCCATCCACTTGTGGTATTTCTGTTGTAGCAGCAACTAGATAAGTATGACAGAAATCAATTTCAATCATTTATCACTTAGTAAGTAAAAATATATATACTTCTATAAACAACTAAAATAGTCATATATATTTTTCTGTGATTAACTCTATTCTTCTCTGATTAAAAATATTAAAACATTGCTCAACACACACTTTAAAACAATCCTTTGAATAATCAAACTTTTGTAATGAATGCGGCCCTTATGTTTCATTTCTCCATAAAATTGTCCCAATTCCTTCAAACTCCTCCCATAACATTTTAATATCAAATAACCCTTTTGTAACAACCGGAGAATAACGTTGCCTTTTCCCTTGTGAGCCTGCCTCTTGAGCTCAGCGATGTGTGTTAAATATGAATCAGTCTCCAGACATCACTCCATATGGGTGTGCCCCTAAGTTCTTTGACCTTTCTCTCACCGAGTCTGCCCTTTCTCTCCAGCTGTTCCCAGGTTCCCGTAGGGTTTGACTAAATGTCAGCCGTTTCCAGAAGCAGCCCTCCGTTCCAGGTCTACCCACACGCTGCCACTTTCATCCCTCTTAGATATTTAGCTTCTAAGACAATTTCTTTCACGTATTCGTCAGCTTTAAAACAAATTTGAAAGCCACTGCTTGTGACGTGCGTGGTGTGCGCCATGGAGTCGATTCCAACTCACAGAGACCCTATAGGACAGAGCAGAACTGCCCCGTAGGGCTTCCAAGGCTGTAATCCTTACAGGAGCAGATCTCTAGCGGAGCAGCTGAGGGGTTCCAACTGCCTACCCTTCTGATAGCAGCCGAGTGCTTAACCACTGTGCCACCAGGGCTCCTACTGCTTGTGGTGGAGGATGCTAGGTGTCCACCTACACTAGTTTCTTCTTCTTCTTCGGGGTCTGGTTTTGGGTTACCTTCTTTATGAGGAGCCCCTTGGCGGTGCAAACGGTCAAGCACTGGACTATACTAGCTGAAAAGTTGGAAGTTTGAACCCACCCAGAGGTGTCTCGGAACAAAGGCCTTGCAATCCGCTTCTGAAAATCAGCCAAAGAAAACCCTATGGATCACAACGGGCTGATCACAGGGATGACGCGGGACCGGGCAGCATTTCATTCCACGTGCACGGGTCGCCACGAGTCGGGGACCCACTCCACAGATGCAGACAACAGCAGCAACATTTTTCATGGGCAGCGAGGGAAGAAAAGGCCAGCCAACAGGCGATCGATACCCACCGCTGGATGAACTGGACCGCTTCGGCCGTCAGCCTCTGCGTAAGGTTGTCGTAGGACATGGGCTGCTGGGTGACCTCATGGTTCCGCATCAGGAAGCAGTTGAGGGGTCGGAAGTAATGAAGGAAACAGACCAGAAGGCCCAGGATGGCAGCAGCCAGAAGGAGCAGGCAGAGGAAGATGGCGTGGGGCACGCATAGCAGCCCCATGCAGTTGAGCACGGCCAGTGTGAGCAGCGCCACGCCGATGATCTGCAGGGGTATGAAGACCAGCAGCCAGAAGCCCTGGGTGAACACGCTGCCTGACCCAGGCTTACAGTCTCTTAAGTTAGTCACCGTGAGCCCATAGAAGTAATCGAAGCCGTGGCTTAGAGGGTGGTGGCAGAAGTCAGATTTGCTGTCACAGCTCATCCCCAGGTGCCACTTCCCTGAGAAGACAAACAGACAAGACATTGAATCCCCTTCCAGAAAAACCAGTCAACTCTGATGCATGGTGACCCCACGTGTATCAGAGTAGAACTGTGCTCCATGGGGTGCTCATTGTGTGGGTTTTCAGGAGCTGATTACCAGGCCTTTCTTCCTGGGGGAGCCCCGGTGGTGTAGTAGTTAAGAACTTGGCTGCTAACCAAAAGGTCAGCAGTTCGAATCCACCAGATGCTCCTTGGAAATGCTATGGGGCAGTTTTACTCTGTCCTACAGGGTTGCTATGAGTCGCAATTGACTCAACAGCAACGGGTCTGGGTATTTTGATTTTCTTTCCAGGAGCCTCTGGTGGACTAGAACCACCGACCTTTCAGAAAGAAGCCAAGCACACGGGCAAGTGTAAGTGTAGTGAAAAATGAGGCCTCTATGAGGCAAATTTGGAAACCCTGGTGGCTTAGTGGTTAAGAGTATGGCTGCTAACCAAACGGTCAGCAGTTCAAATCCACCAGCCGCTCCTTGGAAACCCTATGGGGCAGATCTATTCTGTCCTACAGGATCGCTATGAGTTGGAACTGACTTGACAGCAATGGGTTTTTTGGTTTATGAGGCCAACTGCAGCACATAATCCTACTAAAACCAGTTCCTTCAAGTCAATGCTGTCGAGTTGACCCCACGTGTCAGAGTAGAACTGAGCTCCACAGGGTTTCCGATGGTTGAATTTTCAAACCTGATTGCCCGGCCTTTTTTCCAAGGCGCATCTAGGTGGACTTGAACCGCCAACCTTTCACTTAGCAGTGAAGCCTGTTAACCATTTGCACCACCCAAAACCAAAAACTGAACCCGTTGCCGTTGAGTCGATTCCGACTCATGGCGACCCCATGTGTGACAGAGTAGAACTGAGCTCCACAGGGTTTTCTTGGCTGTAATCTTTATGGAAGTGGATCTCCAGGCCTTTCTTAGGCAGTGCTGCAGGGTGGGTTTGGACCTCCAACCTTTAGGTTAATAGTCACACCATCCAAGGACTCCTTAATCGCAATACCATAAAACCAAACCCAGTGCTGTCGAGTCGATTCCAATTCATAGAGACCCTACAGGACAGAGTAGAACCGCCCCATAGGGTTTCCAAGGAATGGCTGGTGGATTGGAACTGCCAACCTTTTGGTTAGCAGCCGAGCTCTTAACAACTGAGCCACCAGGGCTCCAACAGACACCCTGATTTTAATGCCAGCTTCCAAGTCACACACACTAAAAAGTAAGACCTTTCTATGTATTTCATCAACCAAGGCTTTGCAATTATAGCTACCTACTGGTTTACCTTTGCTTTTCCACAAACATTAGAGGGCTCCTACTGGTTTACCCTTGCTTTCCCACAAACAATAGGGTTTTGACTTCTCTACTGGAATCCGAGAGCTAAGTTAGTGATTGCAAAAAAGAGAAAAAATAAATAAATAAAAACAGAACTAACATATTTAATAGGCAGGAAACCAAACTACATAACAAACTGCAAGCATTTTTTCTGGGATAGATGCTTTTCTGTGAAACTTCCACAATGTTAAATTTTTATAACCAACTTATTTTAATCCTTGAATATTGGGAGTAAAAATGAGTCCTTACTCAAAGAAACTACCCCTGAGGCAGAAGGAAATCATGCTAAAAAATTTAGCAGTTATTTTAAACACCTATGAAAATTTCTTACAAAATGTTCATTGTACCACTAAATTAGTGGCACTTCAAAAAAAAAAAAAGATGATGATGGTTTTATACCAAGATGTGACAGCAAAGAGAAGGGTCATTTTGCTCCTAGGAGATTTTCTAGGATTCATCCAATGAATTGCTTGGACCTAAGCTTGTATCAAGCAACTGGGGAGTCCACATCATTCCTACTGATGGAGTGAAATCAACGGGAATGCCAGTCGAACAAAATTCTGTCACAATTTTAGTATTGAAATGTAAAATGAAAATCTTTACCAACAGCATAGTGTGCATATATAGATTTGTATGTTCTGTGTGTTTCTCTCTCTCCCGTCTATTATTTTTCATGTAGTTATAGAGCTATTTATCTCATCTATTTCTTATCTGTCATCTAACTCATCCATCGAACTCATCTAGCTGCCTACCTACCCATCCATCCATCCATCCATCCATCCATCCATCCATCCATCCATTCATCCATTCATCCACCTACCTACCTAAACAAAACCAAACCCATTGCCATCGTGTTGATTCTAACTCACACCAACCCTACAGGATAGAGTAGAATTGCCCCACAGGGTTTCTAAGGAGTGGCTGGTGGATTCAAACTGCTGACCTTTTGGTTAGCAGCCAAACTCTTAACCACTGCGCCACCAGGGCCACCTACCTGCCTATCTATTTATCTCTTATTTATTTATGTCTTATATGTATCTGTCTGTGTCTGTCTATCATCTATCTTGTCTCTTCATCCATCCCCCCATCCATCCCCCATCCATCCCCCATCCGTCCATCCATCCACCCATCCACCCATCCACCTACCTATTTATCTCTCATCTACTTCTGTCTTGTATCTATTTATCTATCTACATTTATCATCATAATCATCTAAATCAATCATATATCTTATCTATTTCTCTTTTATCTATCATAATTCTGTATCTAGCTACACATACACACACACACGTGTATAAATGCACATATCTACACATTCAAACACCCAGATAAACTCTTTCCTCTTTCATTTAGAAGTGAAGTCATTTCTGTGTATAACACTGTGCAAAGCATACCAGCGGAACACCATTGCTAAGCATGCTGCTCCAATGCCCTCTCCCACTCTCCTCCTCACCTGCCTGGTCCCCGCCCACCCCTCCACGGCCGCCCATACCTATCAGAGCTGTCGAGTATCCCTGGTTCTTCAGCAGCCTGGCGAACGTGATCTCACTGGCGGGTAGCCCTCCAGAGGAGGCGGTGAAGAGGAACACTCCAATCCGGGACCAGGACGCCATTCCTGCAGCAGGAAAAACCAACATTAAGGCAGAAGAACACAGGAGGCTGCCCTGAACAGCAACGGCAATGGTGACAGTGTTACCTGATCTGATGGGGTACCGGCCAGTCATGAAGGCTGCCCTGCTTGGTGTGCAGAGGGGTGATGCGGCCAAGTGCTGGGTGAGCTTCACACCTCCTTGGGCCAGCCGGTCAATGTTGGGAGTCCTGGAATGAAAGGACCCTGTCATCGCTGGAGACTGGGATGGTTCATGTTATGTGTCATCTTGGCTAAGCTATGGTTCTCAGGGGTTTGACAGACACTGGACTGGGTGCTCTTCCATAATGTAGTGTAATGTAATGTAATGCAATGTAATGTAATGTAATGTAATGCAATGCAATGCAATGTAATGTAATGTAATCATCTTCCATAATGTAATGTAAGGTAATATAATGTAATCACATTCCACAATATATTGTAATGTTATGTAATCATCTTCCATAGCGTAATGTAATGTAATCACTTTCCATGATGTGATCTGATGTGAGCAGGCAATCAGCTGAAAGGAGAGTTTCCTTGGGGCTGGGGCCTGCCTCCAGAATATAAATGGATGTTCTGGCAAAGCTCTCTCTCTCTCTCTCTACCCTGCACTCTTCTTATTGCCTGCCCTCCGGTTCTTGGTACATTGTTGTTGATGTTGACGTTGCTGTGTGCTGTGAAGTCAATTCCGATTGACAGCGACTCCATGTGACAGAGTACAACATCTCCATAGGGTTTTCTTGGCTGTAATCTTTATGAGAGCAGATCATGAGATCTTCTCTCCCACAGAACTGCTAGGTGGGTTTGAACTACTAAACTTTTGGTTAGCAGCCAAGCACTTAACCATTGCATCACAAGGCTCCTTTCTTGGGACATGAGCCTGCAAAAATCTCCAGACTGCCACTTGACCTGCAGATTTTGGATTCACCAGCCCCCACAACCCCATGAGTCAGCAGAGGCCTCCAGCCTAACACCTGACCCACAGATTTGGGACTTGTCAGCCCCCACAACTGCATAAGCCATTTTCTTAAAGTAAATCTCTCTCTATATATATACATATTTATGTATATGTATACGTCTCACTGGTTTTGCCCCTCTAGAGAACCAAGACTGAGACAGAGATCTTGAAAACAAGGTTCTCCCTGTGGTCTTTTGTGGCTCTCAATGACCCAGGGCAACTGGGTGGCGGTGTGAGGTAGGGATCAGAGGTGGCAGTGGTGGGGGAGGTAAAGAGGTGATGTAGAACCAAGATCAAAACCATGGGTAGGGCCCAGTGACCCAGGGGTAGCTTACCCTGGGGGCCCACTCATGCCCTCAAAGGGGCTCTGAGCTACTGTCTCCTCTAGCTCTGGGTTAGCAGAGAAAACCCACACCTTGGGGCTGGGCCCCTGCAAGGAGGGAGGTAGGCTCTCAGCCCTTACTCCTTCCCATCCCACGGCCACCGTCAACCAGCTCTCCTGAGCTCCTGCCTAATTTTCACATGTCCCAGAGAGAAGGCAACAACAGGAGCCCATGGAGTCCCTGGGTGGTGCAAACAGTTAAGCACTTGACTGCTAAACAAGAGCTGGCAGTTCGTATTCACATAGAGGTGCCTTAGAGGAAACGTCTGGTGATCTACTTCCAAAAAGTCAGCCATTGAAAACCCTGTGGAGCAGAGCTCAACTCTAGCACATATGGGGTCACCCTAAGTTGGCATCAATTTGATGACAACTAGTTAGATTTTTTTGGCAATGAGCCTTTACCAATGATCAGCAAAAAGGAAAACAAGGGTTGATATACTCCAGAACAAAAAACACTATTTTGAAAAAATACATATATACATATATACACATATATATACGTGTATATATATATAAATATATACATATATACTGTGAACTATGCACACCCTAGGAGCCCTGGTGGCACAGTAATTAAGTGCTCAGCTGCTAACCAAAAAGTCGGCACTTTGAACTCACCAGTGGCTCCTCGGGAGAAAAGACCTGGCAATCTGCTTCCATAAAGACTATAGCCTAGGAAACCCTATGGAGCTGTTCTAAACTCCGTCACCATGAGTCAGAACCAACGCCACGGCAACAGGTTACGCACACCCTTTGTTGGTTTATGGTTTTCTATGCTTAATGAACAAGTTATTGGAGGGCTCATTTCCAAAATTTTCTTTATGCAAGATAAGCAGCCATGGTGCCTTTATCTCCATGAATGGATTTGGGAGTGTCTTTGGAAGCCATTCCAGACTTTCTAGGCATTCCAGAATTAACACCTGCCAATTTCTGGACCACACCAGGCTCTCTCCCCAAATTCTCGACCAGGAACCCCAGTCCCTGCCTCTCTGCCTGGTTAGTCATCTTCCAGCTTCAGTTCCTGGCATAGATCTAATTCTCCCCGGAACACCTCCAACGGCCTGTCTGGTCTGGGTGGGTTGGGGCTGTTCTTTGTGCTGGGCAGCAGTACGTACTTCCTTGTCACAGCAGCTTCCTTAGGGTTAATGATGGCATGACTAATTGCGCTCCCCTCCACGATGGCTGCCTCTGTGTTTGGGAGAGGGGGACAGTGTGCTTCTTGTTCACTGCTGTGGTACAGCGTGGTCCCACGGTTATGCACAGCTTGAAGGAGAATGGCACTGAGTTGTACTTGTAATGCCAAACTAGTCTGCCATCTACTAATTTAGTTCATACTAAATTAGTATGAATTGTTGATACTTCCACTTTGCTTTTACTTTTAAATTACAAGATGCCTAGAAGAAGCTGTGTATTTTACTCAAAACTTACAGGGTCTAGATTGACCTGTTGAGAATTTGGCTACTTTTTGCCAGGATATTATAATATAAAATGAAAAATGTAATTTAGAAAATATGGGAATCTAACGTGGAAAGCAAGACAGACCTAGGACAAATATTGCCATGAAGTCTTTCTTGGGATTTTATAGATTTTTTTTTTCTTTTGATAATTGGTAGCAATTGAAACTTAGAGACGTGATTGTAAATGTTAATTATGACCCCTTACTAGCAACAGTTACCTATGATCTCAGTAAACTTCAGGATTAGTTATAAGATTAAAAAAATAAATAAAATGAAAAAAATAATAGAAATGAACTAATCATAATGGCCAATTTCACAAATGTCCAAATGTGAGATCTAAACGTTTTACAAACTGAGGCAAAAGCTAGGGCAGAACACACATAATCCACTAAACTTTTAAGAGAACACAAGTGTAAATCTTATCCCTGTATATGCTTCAAAAATCTGACAGACTTCTAATGGCGGTGGAATAATTTGGAAAAGGCGGGCAAGCATGGGTGCAGAACTTGAAGAACGTAATCCATGCCACTGAATTACACATGTAGAAACTGCTGAATTGGTGTATGTTTTGTTGTGTGTATTGTCACCACAATTAACAAAAAATCTAACATACGTCACAGATAAGTACATGTGTTGAAAGTAAAAAGCCACATTCGACGCTAACAACATGCGGACCCAAGGGTCTGATGCCTCTGCGTCTTCTTTTCATCGTGTTTTTCGTACTGGTGTAATCACACCTGGCCCTTTAAAAGTTACGGCGGTGTACAGCAAGGCATCTGTCCCTGCCTGTCGGCCAGTGTGACTGGGATTGTAATCCGAGACCGGACTGGGCGGAAGGGGCAGGATGGGACGGAGGTGAGAATGATTGACAAGCTGGCTGGGGCAGGTTCCGGACCAGGTGGCACGAGCGCCGATGGCAGATTCTGTGTATGGTGGTGGGAAATTCAGGGACGGACACTGGTGGTGGCGTGTACAACATGACAGATGTAATTGGTCTCGCTGAATTGTACAGGCGCAAAGTGCTGAATTGGCAAATGCTGTGTTATCTATATCTTTACAGCAATAAGAAAAGAAGAAGAAAATCATAAGAAAGCACTAAAAAAGAAAAAAACAAGAAGGAATAAAAGAGCTGAACAACAGGAAAGAAATGAGAATGTGTCAAAAGCAGCACAGTACGACCAGCAAGACACAAATTTTCTGATACCTTCACAGCGATCGCCTGGGGTTCCTTCAAACAGATACATTCACACCCGTCTCCACAATTTCTCTATGCATCTATGGAGTCCCTGAGCCGTGCAGGTTAATGCACTTGGCTGCTAACCAAGATGTTGGCAAGTTGAGTCCTCCCAGAGGTGCCTCAGAAGAAAGGCCTGGTGATCTACTTCTGAAAAATCAGCCATTGAAAACCCTATGGAGCACAGTTCTACTCTGACATACATGAGGTCATCAGGAGTTGCAGTCAAGTTCATGGCAACTGGTTAATATGTATCTATAAAGTCATGCATAATGGTTAAGTGCTCTGCTGCTAACTGAAAGATGGGCAGTTTGAACCCACCCAGCGGCTCTGTGGGAGAAAGCCCTGGCCATCTGCTTCTGTAAAGACCGCAGCCTAGGAAACCCTATGGGGTCGCTGTGAGTTACAGTCAGGTCGACAGCACACAACGACCAGCACAACATATGAAGTCACACAAGAGAGTTGCGTCCTTTGAGGATTTCAAACTTTTGTGCAGGATCTGCGACTGTGGGTTAACCATCGCTGCAGACTGTTGCCTATCAACGGATCCCGTGTTTACACGGCAGCGCGTCAGCCAACCTGAGAGTTTTGTTTCCATAGCAGCCAGGGTCTCCGATGCCAAGGTCATCCGCCATCAGCAGCACGAAGTTCGGCCTTGAGGCCGGCTGGCTCTGGGCTTGGCAGACACACAGCAGCAGAAGGAGAAGCCTCCCCATCTTCCTGTAAAGGACGCGAGAGAGAGAGATGAAAGGCGCCCGCTCCGTTTGCTTGTTTCCTGTCTCTCTGAGACCCTCCTCCTCTGCCCACGTCTTTCAAAAGAAGGCGTGCTCCCAACTCATCCCCTAAGACAATATGTGCTCCAAAGAGGCGTTCTCTAGGAAGCCTTTGGGATAAAAATTCTATTCTCTCTTTCTTGTGTGTTTGTTCGTAAAACACTCTCTTCTCCATGGAGAGCAAGGATCTCTCCTTTCTTAAAAAAAATAACAACAACAATAAAAAAGAATAGACCACCCATTGCATTCAAGTCCATTCTGACTCCTCACGATGAACCCACATGTTACAGAGTAGAACTGCTCCACAGGGTATTCTTGGCTGTAATCTTTACCCACCTAGATTGCCAGGCCTTTGTTCTGCAGTGCAGTTGGGTGGATTCGAACCAACAACCTTTCGGTGAATAGTTGAGGGCAAACCCTTTGTGTCACGCAGGGCCCGATCCCCTTCTTTTTGCCACTTTGCTCACTCATCAACCTCTAATGAGGATGAGAGACCCCCCCCTGATGACAAAGGCTGGACATGGGATGTGAGGGGACCCAGGTACCAGAGTGAGCAGGAAGTGGGGTGGGCGGTCCCATCAAGAGCTTGCCTCCTTTCTAAAGGGGACCACCTTTGCAGAACCTTCTGATTTGGAAACTACAGCTGGACACCCAGGTTTGTAAGAGCAATTCCACAGCCATTAATTGAATAATTAAAAAAAAAATGCTTAGGGGTCAACACGGTACCAAAAAAAAAAGAGACCCAAAAAACAAAATGACAATAACTAAACCTAATTCCCGGCCACATACCACCTGCCGGCTGCCTTTGTCTGGTCTGATCTGGAAATGTTTGCCCTGGTCCTTTCTCTGTGTTTGCTCATTCTTTGTGAGATTTAAATACCGCCTGGATGCTAATAAACGCCCTATTTTTATTTCCAGACAGATCGCAAGTCCGATGCTCGAGCTAAGCTCTCTCAGTGGATGTCCATTGGCCATCTGGGATCAGCAGGAAAGACCCATCTTTAGACTAGGATTTCCGTTTGGTCCTTCACCTACGCCTTACAAATCAGAACCAGCGGCCTCCCGCCCACCTGGTGAACGCCTTACTCAACTGAGTTACCATTTTCATTATTAACCTGGACCCTTATACTTTTTTTAAATGATTGGCTTTATTCCTTTTCATATTTGAAAAGGACAGAGGAGTACGCGTATATGTATGTATGCGCACACATATGTACGCGTATACGTATGTATTCTCTCTGAGTCAGAATCCACTGAGTGGCAACACATTTTGTTGCTGCCGAGGAGGGAACTATACCCAGCAAAGCGTGCACCAATTCCACAGTTTCTACCTGTACAGTCCAGTGACATTCTTCGTTTTCTACAACCATTCTCACCCTCCACTGACTTGTTCCTCCCCGTTAACTTAAACTCACTGTCCCCTACTAGGGTTCCCATTCAAGTTGATGTTGTCAATTCGATCCTGTAGAGATAGATCTTAAAAGAGCATAATGCTCAAGGCAGACATGTTTTACTAGTTAAGCTAAACTACGGTTTGGTTTTAAGAAGACTTGAGGGGATATTTTTGGTTTAAGGTTAAAAGATTATCTCAGGGCGATGGGTTTACATACACATACTTATAGGTATATATGTGTGTGTATATATATATAAATCTCTTTACTTAAAGGAAAGGAAGACAGCGGGATGAAGTCTAGAACTCAAGGACGTGTTTGATGGTTTTGCCCACTTTCAATGATGGAAGGAGATGTTTACATTTAAAAAAAAATCACGTGTTTCTTGATTCTTCAGCTTAGTTATATCATTAGCTATTCCCACAGAGTTTGTCTGCTTATTTATATTTTATGCTATTTGTTTTCATGAATTATATACACGACCTAAGAGTCGACTTGGTAATTGGCAGAGTCCTGGCGTTTTCTCTTCTCATTTAAAACAGGCCACAGATAAATCTGTCCTTTATCTCATCACCAAATTCTCACTTTGTAGTGAAAGACCTGTAACAGCTTCCTGCTGGCCCTGCAATCCTGAGGGTGTGACTCACGGTTGTCAGCTCCCGGTGGGAACTACCACTCCCTTTAACGTCTTAAACGCAAACTCCCCAGTGATCCCCTGCCACCTTCTTCTGGGCTGTACACGCCGAGCGAGGCAAGGCCCAAAGCAAAGAAGAAAATCCCACCAAAATCTCAACTTCTCAATCGCAAACTTGGTAGCAAAGCGCAAGCTGTGGTTAATCTTGTTTAAAACAAAAACACATAGAAACAAAAAATCAAACCAGTTGCCATCGAGTTCATTTCGACTCACGGCGCCCCCGTATGTGTCAGAGTAGAACTGTGCTCCATAGGGTTTTCAGTGGCTGATTTTTCAGAAGTAGATCGCCAGGCCTTTCTTCCGAGGTGCCTCTGGGTGGACTCCAACCTCCAACCTTCCAGTTAGCAACTGTGCTCCATACGATTTTCTTGGCTGTCTTTATGGAAGCCGATGGCCAGGCTGCCCCGGGTGGGCTCCCCCTGCTCACTTTCCCATTAGTCGAGGGCAGACTGCCTGCACCACGAACGGACCAGGAGCCTTGTTAACAGGTTTTTAAACCACTAGACGCAGCCAAAGACGAGCTGACCGCCACCAAGGGCCCCTTTGATGAGAAATTCCCTTCCTTCTTACGCATTTCCATTGTGAGACAATTCTCTCATTTCACTCAACATCCTTCCACAAGTTCTCCAGCTGATAAATCCAGGGTCCAGCGCCACACCCTCCCCGTCTGGAATATAGACTGACGAGGCATCTACCCAGAAGTTCCAAGTATGAGCAACAGTGCAGGTGGGAAGCGCATGTGCTTCCGTCTTAAAATAAATAGCCAGGTGGGCGTGACAAAACAGAAACAATTGCACATTCAAGGTCACCGCAAATGTGAAGGGTGTAAGAAATGAACCAAACTCACTGCTGTCGAGTTGTTTCCGGCTCACCACGACCCCAGCTAACAGAGCTGAACTGCTCCACAGGGTGTTCTACGCTGTAATCTTTATGGGAGCAGATCGCCAAGCCTTTCTTCCGTGGTGCTGCTGGGTGGGTTCGAACCACTAACCTTCAGCCTACTAGTCGAGCGCAAACCATTTATGCCACCAGACCTCATACTTTAGTGGGGCGAGGAAAGGCTGAAGAATGAGAAGTCCAGGATAACGTGGAGACGCCAATCTCCAGCCTCTCCCCAGCTTAAACGTGATTTCCTTGGTGCCTTAGTCATCTAGTGCTGCTGTAACAGAAATACCACAACGGGGTGGCTTTCACAAACAGAAGTTTCTTCTCTCACAGTCTAGGAGGCTAGAAGTCCGAATTCAGGGTGCCAGCTCCAGGGGAAGGCTTTCTCTCTCTGTTGGCTCTGGGGAAAGGTCCTTGGCATCAATCTTGTAAAAAATTAGGTGATGCAGGCCACACCCCACAGAAACTCCCCTTATATCAGATCAGAGCTGTGACCTGAGTAAGGGTGTTGCATCCCACCCTAATCCTCTTTAATGTAATCTAATCCTGCCTCATTAGCCACAGGCAGAGATTAGGATTTACAACACAAAGGAAAATTACATCAGATCACAAAATGGAGGACAACCCCACAATACTGGTAATCACGGCCTAGCCAAGTTGACACACATTTTGGGGGGACACAATTCAATCCATGACACTTGGGGAAACCCCCGGTCCAGAGAAAGTTCCCTGTTTTCACACTGTTATCATACTGTGTGCATTTCTTTCTTTGCGCTTATGCCACGAGCAAGTGCACAGCTGTTTGAGTTGTTGTGGGTTTAATTTTTCCTGCTGGGCTGGAAGAATCGCACAGACAGGCCATGGGTCTCAGTGGCTCCCAGCACCTGCTCCCAGGTTTGCAAACATTAAATGGTCGGCTAATGCTTATTGGCTGAGCCAATGAGGGACTGACCAATAACAACTCTCTAAGGCCTAACACGCAAGGTTGTTTCCATTCTTAACTGGACTGTAAGCTTCTTGAGGGCAGGAGCTGGTCAAATAATACCAGACACCAAAGCGAAAACAAAAACTTTACCATTGAGTTGATTTTCCGACTCCTGGCAGCCCCACGTGGTATAGGACAGAACTGAGCTCCACAGGGTTTTCTTGGGGAATGCCACCAAATTCCCCATTCTTTCTTTGGAATAGCCATTGTGAATCAATTCTCTCATTTCACTCAACATCTGTCTTAGTCACCTAGTGCTGCTCTAACAGAAATACCACAAGTGGATGGCTTCACAAAGAGAAGTTTGTTCTCTCACAGTCCAGGAGGCTACAAGTCCAAATTTAGGGCATCAGCTCCAGAGGAAGGCTTTCTTTCTCCGTCAGCTCTGGAGGAAGGTCCTTGTGATGCATCAGTCTTCCCTTCGTCTGGGAGCATCTCAGGCTCAGGGACCCCTGGTCAGAAGGATGTGCTCGACTCCTGGCACTACATTCTTGGTGGTATGAGGTCCCCCTATCTCTCTGCTCACTTCGCTCTTTTATATCTCAAAAGAGACTGGCTTAAGACATTATCCAATCTTGTAGACCTCATCAGTATAACTGCTGCTAATCCATTTTATTACATCATAGTGATAGAGTTCACCACACAGGGAAATCACATCAGATTACAGAATGGTGGACAATCATACGGTACTGGGAATCATGACCCAGCCAAGTTGACAGATATTTTTGGGGGACACAATTCAATCCATAACAACATTCATTCACTCGTTCTTCAGATCACCAGGCCTTTCATCTGCAGTGCTACCGGGTAGATTCAAATCACCAACCTTTAGGATAATAACCCATTGCCGTCGAGACAATTCCAACTCATAGCAACTCTATAGGAGAGAGTAGAACCGTCCCATTGAGTTTCCAAGGAGCAGCTCGTGGATTCGAACTGCCGACCTTTTGATTAGCAGCTGAGCTCTTAACCAATGAGCCAGCAGAGCTCCT